CTATTGTACAAAAAAAGTTAAAATTTGTTTTCTAATACAAAGTTGACCCATGACATGTGATAACCAGTGCATTTTATGACATCATATTATGACGTCATCGTTCATATTTTCATAGTTTATAAGAAACATCAACAGAATAGTTTTGACTCAAGGGCATACCTTACTTTGTTTTACAGAAACAAGGTATAGTAGCAGGATATTCCAAGGCTTTATGATATTGCTGCACAAATGTTGACAGTGCAATTGTTTAGTTACTATTCTAAAGTTCTGAGTTGAAACAGGGTAAGAATTCACGGTCCAATGTAAGTTTCCTCAAATTTTTATCAAATGAGAAAAAGCATAGGATTTTTGGTGTGATTTTATTGATTTTTATAATATTCTTCTTTATATTATACATTATTTATTTAAAATTAAATAGGATATGCTCTTGCACTGATATTGTTTTGTTGATACATTTTATTACCTTGAGTGGCAAAGAACAATGATGTCATAATATGATGTCATAATGTACACTAGCTTTAATATGTTGTGGGTACTAAATATAAGAAAATAAATTCAAACATTCTCTGTATAAAAAATATAAAACTTATGCATTTTTAATAGCTTATTTGCATAGAAATGCCTATACCTAGCCTTAATTCACTTGCGCAGTTCCATTGAGTTCTAGATAATGAGGTTTGACAGTCACTGTAGTTTCTTATTGAGTTTACTTTAAAGTTGAGTTTAAATTTCAAATTAATTTGAAAATGAGTTTTCATATTGAATTGAAATTTAATCCAAGTTTATTAAGTTCACCACTCAAAGCCAGTGGAAAAAAACATTTACTGAATGTAACTACTGTAGATTCCTTATTTTACGCGATATCGCGAAATGGCCCAGGGGCGTCAAATTGCGAGAAAAATAATTCGCAAATGGGTGATTTATCTAGAGATTTTACATACATTAAAGCACCATAAAAATAAAAGCGTGTAATTTTATTTCGCGAGTGGTGCTTCTCGCATAATTAAGCGATAATTTATTCCTCGCGTATATTTAGGAATCTACAGTATTCATTTCCCTGGGATGGGTTTGGATGATACATTTTACACCCTGGGGCATAACTTTGTGAAACTCTTCAGTGTTGGAGAAACCCCAAAACATCATATTACAAACAAGAGGCCCATGGGCCACATCACTCACCTGAGCACATTGGCTAAGAAAAAGCACAAACCAGTTCAGTAATGAAAAGTTTACAAGGGGGACTTAAAGTTTAAACTACCTGAGGATGCTACCATATCAATGTAACAAATGGCTTTGCAGTTCTTGAGCAGCAGATTTTTTAAAGATTTTTTCTTATATATATTTCTTTGTAAAAATTTGATCCTCCATTGTGGCCCCTCACTACCCCTAGGGGTCATCATTAGAATAAACTTGAATCTACACTACCTGAGGATGTTTCCATATAAATATGACTAAACATGGCTTTTCTGTTCTTGAGAAGATTTCTTCCTAAATGTTCCTTAGTAAAAATTTGATCCCCCATTGTGGCCCCACCCTACCCTCGTGGAGGTCATGATTTAAACAATTTGAAACTACACTACCTGAGGATACTTCCATTTCAATATGACTAAAAATGGCTTTTTTTATTCTTGAGAAGATTTTTCCAATATATTCATTCCTATGTAAAACTTTGATCCACCATTGAAGCCCCATCCTATCCCCAGGGGGTCATAATTTGAACAAACTTGAATCTGCTTCCATATCAATATGACTTCTTATGGCTTTGCTGTTCTTGAGAAGATTTTTAAAGAAATATATAAATTTTTCCTATATAATCTTATGTTAAACTTTGATCCCCCATTGGGGCCCCACCCTTCCCCCAGGTGTCTTCATTTAAACAATTTGAATTATCCCCTCTTGAATGAGGGTGTGGCCTTTCATTTGAACAATCTTGAATCCTCTTCACACAAGGATACTTTGTGACAAGATTAGTTGAAATTGGCCCACTGGTTCTGGAGAAGTCGAAAATGTGAAAAGTTTACAGACTGACGGACGAAAGACAGAGGGACTACAGACAAAATGTGATCAGAATAGGTCACTTGAGCTTTCAGCTCAGGTGAGCTTAATATCAAATGATTTATATTGTGGCCTAACTTTCTGTTCTTAAAAATTTTTCCTGCACATACTCCTAGATACAGTGCCCACTGTCCAATCAGACAACTGTGCAATCCGGCACACTGGACTTTCCGACCTCATATTTTATTCCCATTTTTTTTTTTATAATTCATATAAAATAAAACACTGTATATTCCGACCACTGTACATTCTGAATTCGTGCGCTTTTTTGTCAACAAAACTAGATAATTACATTATTATTTCACATGGGTAATCAGACATAATTACACGAGTGTTCTGTAATTAGCCGCTGGCAAGGTAACATGAATTTCCCGTTTAGCTATAATATTGGTCTACTTAGAGAGTAGTTCATTATATGTACAAGTTTGAAAATGTTTATGTAAGCAATAAATGATCAGTTTTTCAATTTATAAATTAGGCAATCAATGATCAGTTTATATGCCCCCGTATCAAAGATTCAGGGTATATAGTTTTTGCCCTGTCCATCCGTCTGTCTAGTTGTCTGTCTATCTGTTTGTCCGCAAAAACTTTAACATTGCCCATAACTTTTGATTGGTTAGAGCTATGGCTTTCATATTTCACCTGTGTATTCCTTGTGACAAGACCTTTCTTTGGGTACCACCATATTTGACCTTTTGACCTTGACCTTGGAGTTTGACCCAGTTTTGCAAAATTTTTCCCAACTTTAACCTTGGCCATAACTTTTGAACGATTGGTGCTAGGGCTTTCATACTTCACATGTGTATTCCTTGTGGCAAGACCTTTCTTTGGGTACCACCATATTTGACCTTTTGACCTTGAAGTTTGACCTACTTTTGAAAAACTTTAATATTGGCCATAACTTTTGAACGGTTAGTGCTAAGGCTTTCATACTTAGCATATGTAATCCTTGTGACAAGACCTTCCTTTGGATACCAACAACTTTGACCCTTTGACCTTGACCTTGGAGTTTGACCTACTTTTGTAAAACGTTAACATTGGCCATAACTTTTGAACAGCTGGTGCTGGTGCTTTCATACTTCACGTATGTAATCCTTGTGACAAGACCATCTTTTGGATCCAACAACTTGGACCCTTTGACCTTGACCTTGGAGTTTGACTTACTTTTGGAAAACTTTAACCTTGGACACAACTTTTGAAAAGTTGTTGCTAGGGCTTTCATATTTAACATGTTTTTTCCTTGTGACATGTCCTTCCTTTGGATACCAACAATTGTAATCCATTGACCTTGACCTTGGAGTTTGAACTACTTTTGAAACACTTTAACCTTGATCATAGCTTATGAACGATTGGTGCATCAGCTTTCATATTTCACCTGTATATTTCTTGTGAGAAGGCCTTTCCTTAGGCACCATTAATTTTGACCATTTGACCTTGACCTTGATGTTTGAATTACTTTTGTAAAACTTTAACCTTTTCCATATCTATTCAATGTTTGCTGCTAGGACTTTCATATTTCACAGGTATATTCCTCGAGACAAGACCTTTACTTTGGGTAACAACATATTTGATTTGCATTTGAGAAAGTTTAACCTTTGCTATAAGTTGCCATACGCGGGCATCAGTGTTTCACAAACACATCTTGTTTAATTTATAAATTAGGCAATCAATTCCCTATGTTGTTATCAATTTTATTCTTGCATTGAAAAAATAGTATTCATGCGATAGAAAATAAGAAGGGTACATGATAATTTTGATCACCTTTACCTTATGGAATAAACAAGATTTTTAGCTTGAAATTAAAATCACACTTGCTTGCAATCAGAGTCCTTCATAAAGCCAGGCCTCGGGAAAAACAATGAGTACGGCGAAGCTACTGTGTAACATGTAGACAATACACAAGTTGAATGCAACATCTTGTCTAATTGAAAAATTTTTATTTCAGGGTTAATATACACTGGATTAAACGAGGCTGTGCACATAAAAGATTTGCCGGAAGCAAAAAATACCACTTTAAGTTGCCATTTAAATTTCAAAATATTACATCTGTTTGATGAAAACTCAATCCCAATCACAATGTTTTAGAATTTTGTCCCATTTGTATGAAAAGTGGCTTGATGGTATTAATAGCACAGTCTATGTTGAGTAGTAAATAATGGAGAAAAATTGGAGAGAAATGTAGTGTAGAAAAAAAAACACTGTGTAAAGAATGTACATGTTAATGAAATATTTTCTTTAATATCTAATGTTTTAGTAAAATGCTAAAAATTAAATTGCAACATCTCTAAGCAATCGGCAGTTCCATCTGTTTTGTCCATTAAAAAAAATCATTGTATATTACTACAGAGTTTAATAATACTCAAAGAAATGCTAATCAATGAATGAATGTATATTTTATACAACAAAGAAACACACAATTGTGCAAACACTTTGACAATTAAATACATGTGTACTCTAAACCTCATGAAATTTTTTTTTTAAAGTCATCTGACACTAATCTTAATGCTAAGAAATATTCAACACTGGGTACAGCTGTAATCCGACACACTGTCTAATTCGACATTGATCTCATTTCCCGCAGCATGTGGAATAAGACAGGTTTCACTGTTTAAAACTTTGACGCACTACTATGGGCCGACCTTACCCCTAGGGATTTTTTCCTAGACATTAACTTTGTAAATTTTCATCCTTTACTGTGGCATAAATCCAACTACGGTGTCAATAATTTGAAAAAAAAAACCTGAATCTGTCATTAACTTTATAAACTTTCATCCTTTACTGTGGCATAAACCCAACTATGGTGGCAATGGTTTGAAAAAAAAATGAATCTGTACTATGTACAACAAAAACTTTTTTCACACATTTTAAAAAATAATTAAAACTTGCACAAGTTTTTACACATGTTCAAGTTATTGTAATATAATAAATGATATTATGCTACCAACCTTCATTGCTTTATCTGCAGATAGTCTCAACTCTGACAGAATTTTTTCAAGTTTTGCAATTTCCTCCTTCTGCGCAGCAATTATTCTTGCATCCTAGATTAAACAAGAGGCACATGGGCCACAATGCTCACCTGAGTCACTTGGTCCAGCTTTCTGCATCAGATATTAAAGATTTTCCTATATATTTCAAAGCAAAAACTGATCCTCTATTGTGGCCCCATTTTACCTCCAGGGCCATGATTTGAGATTTTTTATAATCTACACCACCTCAAGAAAATAATGTACCCCACCTCAGGAAGTTTTTCACATCAGTTTCAGTTTTTCAGCTCCAGTGCACGTGCTTCTTAGGAAGAAGATTTAAAATATATATATATATATATATATATATATATATAAATATATAAATATATAAATATATATATATATATATATATATATATATATATATTTTTTAAATCTTCTTCCTAAGAAGCACGTGCACTGGAGCAGAAAAGCTATATATATATATATATATATATATATATATATATATATATATATATATATATATATATATATATATATATAAAAGAGGTATGTCAACGAGTACCCGGTTAACCGGGTACTCGATCGAACGTCCGAGTGTCGAATACTAAAATCGGTTACTCGGATGTATATTTTTTCCTATTTCAAAGTGCATATATTTATTAAAAACTTTTATTTAAATATGCACTGTCCATGTCTATACAGTAATTAGCGTCACATTCTCCAGTTAATACCCATTATCGCCTGTGGCTGAGTCAATGTATATACAGTAATTACCATGATCAATCACAGCTGTCCTCACCTCTTGGGACCCTAATTTTTGCATGCCTTCAATTATTTGATTTCAATGTTTCAATCGTTTAACTAGATCCATTAATTATCTAATTAGCATACAGTAGCGAAATCGGACATACGTAGAAATACCGCTTCAAAAGTGAATTAAGAAATGTTTAAAAATAACCGAAGATTTAAAAAAATGTTAAAAGTCAGCTCTGCATATTAAATTTAGCATATGGGGGGGGGGGGGGGGGGATAACCATAAATTTAAGGAATCACTGTCTAGTTTGTTGGGTATGCCAGAGCATCAACGGCAGTTGGATACTTGGGATAATTTATGCATGACGGGTGAAGTTGTAAATACTATAGTAACAATAAATCGTCATAATTAACTTTCAGAGTTATCATGAAGAAAACATTTGGAAATGTTAATAATATACGACTCGCGATCATGACGATATTCTCTTTCACTAGTCTAATCATTACAAAGTTGCGTCCTTCTCTTCCATTGATCAAAATATCTACCTAACCAGAAATGTAAAGCATTAATTTTGTAGTCATTGGTGTATTGATCATGTCTTTTGTGTTCGATACATAAATTTAGTACAAAAATCATTTTCGTAGGGCTCAATGATTATGTACATGCATTATAAACGAAAGGAAATATCGATGGGTTATACGGTCTATAAATCAACAAACTTTTACATATATACACACTTTTTCCGAGTACCTGGGTACTCGATCGGAAAATCATCCGAGTAACCGATTATCAAATATTGACCGATTTGACATCCCTAATATATATATATATATATATATATATATATATATATATATATATATATATATATATATATATATATATATATATTTTTTTTTTTTTTTTTCCTTTTCTTTTTTTTTCTTTAAAAATATAATGAGAAAACACAAAAATCCTCCTTAGAGCTTTAGTGCTTTCATTTTCAATCTTCAGAAGCTTTACAAAAGTGTATGCACAACAGCATCATAGTAAGTGATTGTGACGTCAAGGTAAGCAGAACGTTTAATGTCTATACTATGATACTGTTGTGTACACATTTTTGTAAAGCTTCTGAAGATTGAAAATGAAAGCGCTAAAGCTTTAAGGAGGATTTTTGTGTTTTCTTTTCATAATTTTTTAATATTGTTATCCGATTACTGAGACATTATCTAAATTTTGGATATATATATCAATGTAAAACTTTAATTCCATATTGTGGCCCCCTCCTATCCTGGAACTATGATCTACACTTTTTCAGGAAGCTTACACTTAAGTTACACCTTTTCTGGTCCATTGGTTCTTGAGAAGATGACTTTTTAATGAACCTAACCTATTTTTGTCTTTTCTTGATTATCTTCCCTTGGAAGGGAGCTTGGCCCTTCATTTCAATAATTTAGAATCCCCTTAACCTAGGATTACTTTGTACCAACTTTGATTAAAATTGGTCAATGGTTCTTGAGAAGAAATTGAAAATGTGTAAAGTTTAAGATGGACAGATAGCCAGACAGACAAATAGACATATGGAAGGACACTGGACGAACAGTGATCAGAAAAACTCACTTGTGAGCTAAGAACAAGATGATACAAAAACAGCAAAGCAAGGAAGTTTGGGATTTGACTAGTACACTAATATTCATCTTATAACTGCAATCAAAGACCTAAACTTAATCAAACAAAGAACCTTCAATATGCATCGGAGATATTTACCTCAAATTTGATCCTCTCTATCTCAGATTTTAAAAACTGTATTTCTTTCTGCAAACGTTCAATAAGCAAATCCCTGAAGAAAAATTAAAGATTGAATAAAATTCATCACATTTTAAACTACCTTCCTAAATTTTTTCCTATAATTTAATTGAATTTCTACAACTAAGTTTTACCTCTCATCAATTTCTGGAGGTTCAAAACCATTACCAAATGCTGCATCAAATTTGTCCTGAAACAAAATAAATGTATCCTTAGTACAACCCTTTACCTATTTCTTAGAAGACTTTTAAAATCTAAAATGACAAATATGTATTAGGGATTTAGATTAAAATGGTCAAGCACTAGTCCTTGGGCTATTGGTACAATCCCTGAAATGTTCTACTTTTTCCATTTGAACAGTGAGTGAAGGAGTGAATAGTGTTTGAATGCTCAACGCAACTTGGTAAACAGTAAATAGTGAATGATGAACAATGGCAGAATGTGAAAAAAAATTTTGTGAATTGTCTCACAGGCTGTCCATGGCTCTTAATTTTTTTAAATCCTACATTTGAAAATTTTGCTAAAATTCCTTTTTTCAAAAAATGCTGAAATCAAAGGAAAATCCTAAAATAGCCCTAATAGTTCTTCATTTCAATTCCTTAATATATATATATATATATATATATATATATATATATATATATATATATATATATATACATATATATATATATATATATATATATATATATATATATATATATATATATATATATATATATATTTTTCTGTTTGTATGTTGTTCAACCTCTCGAGAAATTTTCACTCATATGGAGACGCCACCACTTGCCAGTGGAGAGCTGCAAATTTTGTCCTATACTCGGCACTTATGGCCATTGAGCAGTGAGGGATCTTTTTCGTGCCAGCACCTACTGCGACACGGGACCTCGCTTTATACGGTCTCATCCGAAGGACCGGTCTCCACGTCCCACAGTGGGATTCGAACCCGCGATGTAAGGATCAACTCCTTACTCTGCGACTCTAGAGCAGACGCTCTAACCACTGCGCCACGCAGGCGACTATATATATATAAATATACGAGGGTTGTTCGAAAAGTTGGTGGACGATCTCAATCTTTGTTATACTACTTCCAAGAAATTTAGAATAAGCACAATATCATGTGTAAAAATATTTGTTTTGTTGATCTGTGAAATTTCATTCCATTCGATTTGATAGAAATTAATTTACTCCATTTTAAAATCAACATGTTTTGTAACCACGGCGCACACTTAAAAGCAATTTAACGTCAAAACATAGCGTCAAGAGTTTCTTAAAAATTCTATACTTATACATTCATACAGTATAGTCCAATACCCACGTATTAAAAACCTTTTTCAATCACTTGACATTTATTTTTCTAACAATTGTTCTCGTTTTATAATTTCCTTTGTTAATGTTGAATTTCTTTTACCGCTTAACTGTGCTTTCACAAGATCAGCAACTCTGAAGCGCCTACGTCTTTCCATGACGCCCAAAATTTTAAAAGTTTTCGTTCAGATTTTTACAGTTATACCGTTTCTTCACAGATTGTCCTCGTCCGATACAGAGTCTCTGTCACTCAAATACCGCCTCCACCATTTACACACATGCACTTTACTCGCTTGTGGCATATTTTCTGATTCCTCCAACATTTTTAGCGTTTATTCAGGATTTTACCCGAGTATAACACAAAACTGCATCGGTATCTGCTGCTCCGTGACGTTCTACAACGTCATCGGTTTTGTCGTTTTCAATTAAGACTACCTATCTTCTCAAATTGATTTCTTTTTACTGAAGCAAAATATTAAGCCATAATTTGGAATGTGAATCGATGTAACAGTTTTTAATTTAACCATCTAGGATTTTTTCGTTTTTGCTCCATTTTACAGAGAAGATGACAACAGAGAGTATTTTGTGTATTGTTTGTAAATTACTAAATTTTGACCTGTGCCGCGATTCGATTTTTGCAGTTTTTCATTCTGTATAAGTTTAAAATAAATCATGATATTTTTGAAAAATTTAATACAAATCATTTAAATTTATTGTTAAAATATTTCTACCAAATTTGGATAACATATGACGTTAAATAAAAAAGATATGACAGAAGTCCACGAACTTTACGAACAACCCTCGTATATATATATATATATATAAAATAGGGTTATTGAACTTCTGTTGGTGAATATTGGCACTCATTTGCTGTACAAATACACTTGCAAGCTCGTGCATTTGTACAGCTAACTCGTATATGCATGAGCTTTTGAGTGCATTTGTACAGCCAATGAGTGCAATATTCACCAATATAAGTTCAACAAGAGGCCCAAGGGCCTTGAATCGCTCTTCTGATAAATTGTACAACCTATCACTTCTATTTGAAGCCTCAAAGTATCCTGTATATTTAGATAAAGCCTTGAAATTCCAAAGGCAGGTCATCATGATCTAGATTTCAGATAAAACACTCTGAGAACCCAAGATGATTCTAAGCCAATAAGTACCTGAGGGTAGGTCATGGTGACCTACTTATCACTTGTCATTCTCTGAGGACCTAAGATGCATCAACTGTCTAAGTTTGATGATTTTAATTAGTACCCGAAATATTTAATTATAGTCATATAAATTGAAAAGTAGGTCACGGTGACCTACTATTCAGTCAACCTACTCCGAGGACCTAAGATGCATCAACTGACAAAGTTTGATGATTCTAAGTCAATTAGTACCTGAAATATTTAATTAAAGCTATAAATTTTCAAAAGTAGGTCAAGGTGACCTACTTTTCAGTCAACCTACTCCAAAGACCCAAGATGCATTAACTGACAAAGTTTGATGATTCTAAGCCAATTAGTGCCTGAAATATTTAATTAGGCCACACCAATTTGTAAAATAGTTCTTCGGATTTTCAAAAATAAAAAGTGAGGCGAGCGAGCGAAATAATTTTACAAATATTATTTTTCAATTCGGGTTTCAAAATTATGAGGCGAGCAAATATAATTAATACAGGTGGCAAAATTTTCTAAGTTCTCTTTTTCCTATTATTTTTTCTGGGAGAGAAAACGTTTTCTATGCACTCATAAGATGTGAAAACGCGCCTTACTTTTGTTTCTCGTAACATTTGCAATTTAGACGTAGTTTCATTTCTACAAATTTTCTGTTTAATTCTTTGCAAATTGTTAAGGTCATGTCAGGTTTCAAAATCACAATTGCATCGCTTCTTGAATTTTCTTTAATTTTTATTGAACAAATATGGTCAATATTTACTTAACCTTGTGTATATTTTTCATATGTTGATGATATTCTCTTTATTGTTTCATCAAACAAAGCTTCAAACGTCTCCTATGCTTCCATTTCTATTGCTGTGTATGGAACTACTTTGTACCCATTGTTTTTAACTATAGTACACAGGGGTGTGCAATAAAAAAAATCAAGTAAGTCAATCAAAGTTACTAGCCCCAAGTAAAAAGTTACTAGCCCAAACAGAGGGGCAAAAATTAAAATAAATACTAATTAATGTTGAGAAGAAATTAATTGCTGAAAAAGTCAGGGTACTGAGGTCATTCTTTTTAAAATTAAAGTTAAAAGTTCTCACTATCAATATAAATCATGTATAAATTATTATGAAAGAAAATTAAAATGAATTTAAATAAATTATCTTTCCTTTTTCTGATCATTGCACTAGCTCATTTAGAATGAAATTAAATTCATTTTGTTTTCATCTTAAATCATTAAATACACTAGAAATATATTTTATGTAAGTCACAAAACACTTATTTTTCAGTTGATTGAGTGATCGTAAATAATTTAATGAGATATCTGTATGTATTTACCATAAATGGAGGAATAGAGGAAATTCGGATTAGGAAAAAACGATCGTTTTTGGAAGTAAATAGTCAGATAGAACTGTAAAACAAATAAGATTATGGAGATTTATTGACAGTCGGAGCATGTTGTCTGGAAAATTTTAACTGGTTGGGAATTTTATAGCAAAAAAATGAGTGAAAATACCGATTGTGCTTGTCATGTATTGCGTGTGTAGTTAAATTTTTCACTAGCCCGACGGGATTCCTCCTTGCAGAAAACCACTAGCCCGACCTGCAAAAATGGTAGCCCCGGGCGTCAGGAGATGCTAATTGCTCACCCCTGGTACATACGAACAGTTACACAGGCATCGTGCAAAACTTCACAAACTGTTACAAACATTCTAAATCCCGCGCTTCTGTCAAACAAGTTTCCAAGTCTTTTGTGCGTTTTGTGTAAAAAGTCGAGAAAAAAAAATTGTATACGGATATTTTTGGACGCGCGCGCGGATTTTTTTTTTATAATATTATAATTTGGATTTGTTGTAAATAGAAGCGGCGAATCCGACGAACTATATTAGAAATTGGTATGGCCTTATAGTCATACAAATTGAAAAGGTCACTGTGACCTACTTTTTAGCTGAGGTTTTTTGAGGACCCAAGATGCATCAACTTACAAAGTTTCATGATCATAGGCCTTAAAATGTCCAAATTATGCCTCTAAAACACTTTGAAATCGAATGCCTGCAAAGTTCAAAAAGTAGGTCATTATGACCTTCTTTTTAATAAATATGTTTTATGGCCCCAAGATGCATCATCTTACAAGATTTAATGATTCTAAACCTCTCAGTATTCGAATTAATGACCTTAATTGTTTTGAAAAAGATTAGCCATCAAATTCAAAAAGTAGACCAAGGTGACCTACTTTTTAGTCATCGTACTCCGAGGACCCAAGATACATCAATTGACAAAGTTTGATGATCATTGGCCTTAAATTGTTCAAAATATGCCTCTAACTCATTTTGAAAAACAAGAGGCCCAAGGGCCTTGAATCGCTCTTCTGATAATCTGTACAACCTATCACTTCTATTTGAAGCCTCTAAGTATCCTGCATATTTAGATAAAGCCTTGAAATTCCAAAAGTAGGTCATCATGACCTACATTTTAGATGAAACACTCTGAGAACCCAAGATGATTCTAAGCAAATTAGTACCTGAGAGTAGGTCATGGTGACCTACTTATCACTTGTCATTCTCTGAGGACCCATGATGCATCAACTAAGTTTGATGATTCTAAGCCAATTAATATCCAAAATATTTTTAAAATTATAACCATAAAATTTCAAAAGTAGGTCATGGTGACCTACTTTTCAGTTGTCGTACTCCAAGGACCCAAGATGCATCAACTGACAAAGTTTGATTATTCTAAGCCAATTAGTACCCGAAATATTTAATTAAAGTCATATAAATTGAAAGTAGGTCACGGTGACCTACATTTCAGTCGAACTACTCCATGGACCTAAGATGCATCAACTGACAAATTTTGATGATTCTAAGCCAAATAGTACCTGAAATATTTAATTAAAGCTATAAATTTTGAAAAGTAGGTCATGGTGACCTACTTTTCAGTCAACCTACTCCAAAGACCCAAGATGCATCAACTGACAAAGTTTGATGATTCTAAGGCATTTAGTAGCCAAAATATTTAATTAAAGTCATATAAATTGAAAAGTAGGTCACGGTGACCTACTTTTTGGTTGACGTTTTTTGAGGACCCAAGATGCATCAACTTACAAAGTTTATGATCATAGGCCTTAAAATGTCCAAATTATGCCTCTAAAATGCTTTGAAATCGAATGCCTGCAAAGTTAAAAAAGTAGGTCACTGTGACCTACTTTTTAATAAATACGTTTCATGGCCCCAAGATGCATCATCTTACAAGATTTAATGATTCTAAACCTCTCAGTATTCGAATTAATGACCTTAATTGTTTTGAAAAAGATTAGCCATCAAATTCAAAAAGTAAGTCAAGGTGACCTACTTTTTAGTTGACATACTCTGAGGACCCAAGATACATCAAATGACAAAGTTTGATGATCATAGGCCTTAAATTGTTCAAAATATGCCTCTAAATCATTTTGAAAAAGAATGGCTGCAAAATTCAAAAAGTAGGTCACCATGACCTACTTTTTAGTTAACGTGATATGAGGTTCTTAGATGCATCAACTGACAAGATTTGATGATTCTAGTCCTTATAGTAAAAAAAATATCAACATTTTAATAAAATGTAATTTTTGGTCAACTTTGACGTGTCCTTGAGACCACGCCCTTTGCCCCAGGGTGATGCCATGAACAATTTTTAATCTACAACATATCCTCTTCCTTTTGTGTAAGATTGGTGATAATCTGCCCCGTGGTTCTTGAGATGAGGATTTTTTAGCAACCAGTACTTTTGTTTCTATTTTCCTAATTATCTCCCCTTGTTTAAGGGTCACAACCCTAGTTTTAGTATAAACGGGAGTCCTTGGGCCAAGGATACCCTGTGACAAATTTGACAATAATTGGCCAAGGGGTTCTTGAGTTATGGCCCATATTCTAAAAAGTTTACGCACACCGCACAAATGGCCATAGCATTAGCTCTTTGAGTCTTTGGCTCAGAAGAGCTAATAATGGCTGCAAAATTTAATAAGCAGGTCATTGTGACCTACTTTTGAGTCAACACGATATGAGGTCCTTAGATGCATCAACTGAAAAGATTTGATGATTCTAGTCCTTATAGTAAGCAAAATATCATCATTTTAATAAAATATAATTTTTGGTCAACTTTGAAGTGACCTCGAGACCACACCCTTTGCCCAAGGGCTAGTGTCAAATAATTGGTTACTCTCTGACATACCTAATATAGTGTTCAACACTAACCTCTGAGGTGTCAATCAGATCTCCTATACTGTCAGTATCTGGTTCATTTTCTGGTTCTGGTTCTGGAACAACAGCCACTGGTTTGACATGTTTACTGAAGTCTGAGGCTATCAGAAAGTTTGGAGGCTCCTAAAGATAGCAATAAAAACAATAAAAACAAAGGTTACTAATTTTGTTCAAGAATCAGTCAAAATTTTACAGCTTTATTCACAACTTGAAAAACAATTTTAAGTATATTGAAAACAAGTGCTGCTTAGAGCAGAAAAACAATTATAACTAGTGCTAACTGTAACGGGAACCGTTACAGATGTTCCCCAAACGGCTCCCCAATCCCTTATGATGCCCCATTCCCTACAAGCTTCAATAAATTAGACAATACTTTTGTAATATAGATGGACACTTTATTTTTAAGGGTTTTTCATTGGAAATCTACTCCGATATAGCCATATGGGTATTATCCAATCAAATTTCAGCGCATATGCTTGCACATGTTTTCTACATTTTTCACATTAATTTTCTTATAGTGTCTCACAATACATACATTTGTGTTAAATATTAAAGAATCTCATTGAAAAATAAGAGAGATGTAACCCTTTAAGTATTAGCCAATCAGAATTCAGCATACGCGCATGCATGGACTTGCATTCAATTTGATAGTATCATAATGTAGGAGCTCTATGTGCCTGTCCATGTCGTAAATTTCATCCTGTTTTGTTGAAAACCAAGGGAGTTATAGACATTTAAAGTTTCAACCATTCAGATTGCAGCACACCTGCATGCGCATGTTTTCAAGAAATTTCCTATATAACATGTTGTAGCACCTTATAATATATACTTATATTCTAAATTTCAAAGTATTTTGTCAAAAAACAAGGAAATTATTGAGATTTTTGTATCAGCCAATCAGAGAAGAGTGCACGTGCATGCGCGTGAGTTCACGCTAATTTGACCAGGTTATCTTGTCTAGACTGCTAATATATCTTTATATTTTGAGTTTCAAAGCAATTCATCAAGAAATATAAAAGTTACGGCTTCATCAAGTATATCAGTCATTTCACTCATTGCACGCGCGCGCACGTGCATGCATGTGCGCGCAAAATGACCTTCGTTCCGAACACCTACACAACATGCCTATTAACCCTAAAAAGGTTTCATGTCAATTGGATGAGTGGTTCTATGAGAACACTCCCGGACAAAAAAGTATCGGAGAAGAAAGTAGAAAAAAAGAATAATAATAATAATAATAATAATAAGAAGAAGAAACAGAGTAAAAACAATATGTTCCCAAACTTCGTTTGGGGAACATAATTACAGTTTTCATCATACAGTTCAACTTCAATATCTCAAATACTGATACCTCAAATACCATGTTTATATCATAGTGATTTCCAAGTCGTACCACTTATTAATTATCATATCCCTGATACCTTGAATCCTTGGATATTTCAATTTTTTTGGTCCCCTCACATTTGAGATAACAAGATTTGACTGAAATTACATTTTGATGACAACACTGCAGCTGTAATATTAAACACCTAGCAAGTTAATTATCTTCATATTTATTTAAACAAATTCTCTACTTGCCTCAGGTAAAAATGGGACTTGGACTAGATTCTTGAAATATTGTAAATTACTACTACTTAGATAAAACTGCTTTAACCTGAAAAAGAAAATAACATGAAATATTAGAAGATTCTGCTTCAAGATTCTTTAATGAAAGGAAATTAATGTTCAAACAAACTTTAATCTTCACTACCTGAGGATGCTTGTCCTAGCTGTTCTTAAAAAGATTTTTATTAATTTTTTTCTATTCTGACCCCACCCTATCCCCCAGGGGCATCAATTTTGAAAAAATGAACTTATACTTGCTGAGAATGATGCATATTATTATGAATAATCATAGCCTTGCCTTTCTTCAAAAGATTTTTTATAGATTTTTTTTCCCAAGTAAACTTTAATTCCCTATTGTGTCTCCACCCTATCCCAGGAACTGTGAACAATCCTAAATGTAGATAGGTGACAATGCTTGCATACTTATATGATTAATAATCACAGCCCTGCTCTTCATGAAAAAGAGATTTTTTAAAAATTGTTCTCTCTATATATTCCATGTAACACTCTAAATCCCTACGGAGGCACTGCCTGTCTCCAGTAATTTATATTTGAACAAACTACTTGTATCTTCATTAGGTGAGGATGCTTGCATATTTATAAGACTGATCAGGATTCTGCTGCTCTTGAGAAAGAGATTTTGAACAATAAATTCTGAAGTAAAACTCTTGATTACCTAATGTGGCTGAACCCTATACCCCAGTGTCCATGCTTTGAAAAAGAAAAAAAAAACTTGAATATGCACTAGGGGAGGATGCTTGCACATTAATACACTGTATGACTAGTCATGATTCTGCTGTTTTGAGAAGATGATTTTTAAGCATGTTTTCTATATATTTCCATGTAAAACTTTTATCCCTATGGTGGCACCATCCTACCCCCAGGGGTCTCAATCTGCATTAGTAAGGATGTTTTCAAATTAGTTTCATCTTTTTGGTCCAAGTGGTCTTTAAGAAAATATTTTTAAACATCAACCATAATTTACTTTTTCTTAATTACCTCCCCTTGAGGAGGACATGGTCTTTTATTTATGCAAACTTGAATCCCTTTTACTCAAGGATGCTTTGAAGCAAGTATGGTTGAATTGCCCTGGTGGTTCTGGAGAAGTAAAAAATATGAAAAGTTAACAGATTGACAGATGTACAAACAATAAACAACAGGTGATCAGAAAAGCTCATGTCAACCTTAAGGTTCAGGTGAGCTAAAAATAAGTTAAATAAAATGAAACACTTGCTTCCGATATGCAGTCATAAACCTATCTCTGTGTCCAGACAGGGTATCTGGAGGGAGACCTGTTAAATAATAAAATATATTTCATTATACTGTAAACATAAAAATGTTTGAAAAAAAAAATAAATATATTTTGCAATTTTTATTCTATTAAATAAACATCATGATATATCACCATATCAATAACATTTTACGATAAACATAGATATTTACCTGTACTGTTCATTATAAGAATCAGTACAAATAACTAGATGAGATCTTGTTGCAAGCAACAAGTAGGTCTTACGTTAGATTTCTGATATCTTGATTGGGAAAGTTTGATTTGATAAAAATAACAACTATAAATAAAAACAAGAGATGTTTGTGAAACACATGCCCCCCCCCCCCCTCCCCCCCAAAATAAAAATAATTGGAATTTTTCTAACTCTAAGGTGTATAACTCTTTCAAAAATTGCTTGATTGTACCCAAAACAAACAGAACCTGGCCTAGATATCCTTATGATTAATCTGTATACCAAATTTCATTTCAGCATGTGCAACCTCTGCGAAAAAAAATGAACAGAAACTGCAAATAATTGGAATTTTTCTAAGTCAAAGGGGCATAACTCTGTCAAAAAGTGCTCAATCATACCCAAAACCTAGATATTCTTATGATAAATCTGTATACCAGATTTCATTTCAGTATGTGCAACCTCTGCAAAGAAATGAACGGAAACTGCAAATAATTGGAATTTTTTTAAGTCCAAGGAGCATAACTCTGTCAAAAATTGCTTGATTGTACCCAAAACAGAACATGACCTAGATATTCTTATGATAAATCTGTAACCAAATTTCATTTCAGTATGTGCAACCTCTGCGAAGAAAATGAACGGAAACTGTTGGTGGACCAACAGACAGACTGACCAACCGAAAGACAGCAGCAATGCAATATTCCCTCCCTTCTTTGAAGGGGGGCATAATAAATAAAAAAAATATTTATATCAGTTCTTTAAAATATGTTTAGCAACACATAAAAGAGTGAAATCTATCAATTTCAAACAACTTCTGGTCTTTTTCATTCACTTCTGGTATGACCAGAAGTACTCAAAATGACTTTTAACTCCTCACTGAGTTTAAAGGAATCACCCCTCTCAGTTTTGAGGAAAAATACTCATTTTTTTGACTACTTCCATTTCAAAAGAAATAACTGCTGGTGGAAATTACATGACTCAAAACGCTCTATTTGTCTCTGTTATAGACATTTCACGAAGAGAACAAGAGGCCTATGGGCCACAATGCTCACCTGAGCACATTGGCTAGGAAAAAAACACAAATCAGGTCAGCATTGAAAGAAGATTTTTTAAAAGTTTTTTTTTTATATAGATTCCTTTGTTAAAATTTGATCCTTTATTGTGGCCCCTACCTAACCCCAGGGGTCATGATTTAAACAAACTTGAATTAACTATACCCGAGGAAGCTTCCTTATCAATATGACTGAACTTGGCTTTGCTGTTCTTAAGAAAAGAATTTTTCCTACATATTCTTATGTAAAACTTTGATCTTCCATTGTGGTCCCTCCCAACCCCCTGGGGGCCATGATTTGAACAAATCTGAATCTACACTACCTGAGGATGCTTCCATATCAATATTATTAAACATGGCTTTGCTGTTCTTGAGAAGAAGATTTTTGAAAGATTTTTTTCTTATATATTCCTATGTAAATTTTGATCCACCATTGTGGCCTCATCCTACCCCCAGGGGTCATCATTTGAACAAACTTGAATCTACACTACCTGAGAATGCTTCCATATCAATATGACTGAACAAGGCTTTGCTATTCTTGAGAAGATTTTGAATTTTTTTTCCCTATATATTCCTATGTAAAACTTTGATCCCCCATTGTGGCCCCACTCTATCTCGGGGGCCATGATTTGAACAAATCTTAATCTACACTACCTGAGGATGCTTCCGTATCGATATTATTAAACATGGCTTTGCTGTTCTTGAAATGAAGATTTTGAAAGATTTTTTTTCTTATATATACCTATGTAAATTTTGATCAACCATTGTGGCCTCACCCTACCCCAGGGGGTCATCATTTGAACAAACTTTCACTATTTCTGAATTATCTCCTCTTGAAAGAGAGCATGGCCCTTCATTTGTACAAATCTGAATCCCCTTTACCCAAGGATGCTTTGTGCCGAGTGTGGTTGAAATTGGCCCAGTGGTTTTGGAGAAGTCGATAATCTGAAATGTTTTCAGACAGACAGACTACAGACAAAATGTGATCAGATAAGCTCACTTGAGCTTTCGGCTCAGGTGAGCTAAAAATATAAATTGACAAATTTTTTAACTACTTCTGGTGGACAAGGGATGTCACGGCAACAAAAAACTAAACATGTTTGTCACATCTATGAGTCACAATCTACAATGGCTGCAACATTAATCATGTAGAATCGTTCGTGTAACGTGCGTGATCATTCGTGTAACGTGCGAGATCGTGCGTGTATCAGACTCAATCGTTTGCGGTTTTAATCGTGCGTGATCGTGCGTTAAAAAAAGTGTAAATTTCATTTCGTAAGTTTTTATCGGAATGTTATTTGTTATACAAGCATTTCGCTTGTCTTTTTTTTTCAATCCAAATAAAATAAATGAAGCGAGATTTACATAGTTGAAAGCAGAACAAACTAATTATCGCTTGGAAATAAGCAATATAGTAAGTCATACAATATTGTGTTCTCGTCAAATAGCGTGATTTTTTGTGATAAACCGTATAGATGTTTAAGGATTTTTTTCTCTAATAATAATTATGTTTACTGCTAATTATGGTCAATATATTTTTAAAATCAATAGCTATTTTTACAAATAAATAAATAATTCATTCTCAATGCTTACATAAATATTTAGTCGGCGAATGTACATGTACACGACATGATTGTAGGGGTTTCGTTTATCAGTGTTTATCTCTGGAGCTTACTTTCAATAATTTTTTTTTTATAATTTCTGCAAATAAATGATTTGTAAAATAATTGTTGATTTTAGAGATTCACAAATGGAAACATGGATATTTAAGGAATCACTGTCTAGTTAGTAGAGTATGCCAGGGCATCAACAATAGTTGGAAACATGGGATAATTTGCATAACGGGCAGAGCCCGTTATGCATAAATTATCCCACGTTTCCAACTATCGTTGATGTCCCTGGCATACTCTACTAACTAGACAGTGATTCCTTATATTTCCATTTCATTGTGAAATAAAATTGTAAATTTAGATTTTAAAAATGTAAACTAATAGATTTAAATTACACGAGGCCTCACATGTCAATTTCAATAGTCCCCGCCCACTGACGTTAAACACAAAGAAAGCCACACGAGAATTACATGCATATTAGGCCTTCTTAGCTCCTGACCTTTCGCTTGGCGAAATTTGCATTCCGGTGGAATGATCAAGAAATCAACTCTCCTAACTTTCAAAGAGATATCACAGAGAAAACAAATAGAAATGGAAATATAACTTATAATTTAATTCATTTTCATGCCATTTTTTTTTCAAACCTATCCCTTTTTGCATATCATGAAATCCAATTCAATCAAAAGTTACTGTCCACCTACATGTACATCTTCTGAAAGAACGAAAAAAAATTAGTTTTCTTAAGTCGGAGAATTACGTAAATAATTATTTGTAATCTAAAATAATTAATAAGTCTTACGTGTATTTAGTTCCAGAAATATCCATTTCTCTTTTCTTTTTTTCCTTTTCTTTTCTTTTTTTTTTTTCTTCATTTTTCAAAGTCAATGAAAAAATATCAGTAATTATTTGAAATCTAAAATAAGTGTTAAGCCTTATTTTGTTTTGAAAATATCCATTCCTAAAGAATTTGAACTATTTTGCGTGAAGAATCGTGCGTTTGCATTAGCAATAGTGTAAGATCGTGCAACGTGTAGAATCGTGTGCGTGAAGGATCGTTCGTGTAACAGATTTCATCGTGCGTTAATCGTGCGGAATCGTTCGTGTAACGTGATCGTTCATGTAAGTTGTCAACAATAACGCTGCAGCCACTGTATCATCCCTGAAAGTTTCATAACTCAGTCTCGAACTGTTTTTGGGAAAACTGGCAGACAAAATGCCACTTTAAAAACAGAAAATTGGCTGCATCTCAAGATCAGAAGTGATGACGGCAAAATAAAACAAGAGGCCCATGGGCCACATCACTCACCTAAGCACTTGGAATAGGAAAAAGCAGAAATCAGTTCAGTACTGAAAATTTTAAATGTTAAAGTGATACGTGGGAGGGGGGGGGGAGGGGAGGATATGAACAAACTCAATTCTACACTACCTGAGTACCTGAGGATGATCAATCATGGCCTTGCTGTTCTTGGGAATAAGTTTTTTAAAGTTTTTTCCTATATGTATTCCTATGTAAAACTTTTGATCACCCATTGTGCCCCATCCTACTCCCGGGAATCATGATTTGAACAAACTTGAATTTACCCAAGGATGTTTCTGGATTATCATGCCAAATTTTGACTGTGCTGTTCCCTTGAAAGGAAATTTTATCAATATATCCTTATATTCCTTTGTAGAACTTTGATCCCCTTTTGTGGCCCCTCTATACTCCTGTGGGGTCATGATTTGAACAGTCTTGAATCTACACTATCTTAGGATGCTTCTGGATAAATATGACCAATCATAGCTATGCTGTTCCTGAGAGGGAGATTTTTGAAGAATTTTCCTATATATATTTCTATGTAAAACTTTGATCGCCCATTGCAGCCAACCCTTCCCCCAGGGGTAATGATTTGAATGAAATTGAATCTACACTACTTGAGGATGCTTCCATATAAGTTTCATATTTTCTAGCTCAGTTGTTCTTGAGAAGATGATTTTTAAAAGATGCCATTAATTCTTCACTAATTCTTAATTATCTCCTCTTGGAAGAAGGCATGGTCCTCCATTTGAACAAACTTGAATTCCCTTTACCTAAGAATACTTTGTGGCAAGTTTGGTTGAAATTTGTCCAGTGGTTCTTGAGAATAAGTCGAAGATGCTGGAAAAAATGTGATCAGAAAAGCTCACTTCAGCCTTGGGCTCACTGGTGACCTTAAAAAACGCCCTTAGTTCAGATTATTTGCCATCATTGCTAAAAGTTTCATGAAAATGTAATGAGGCATCCTCGAGAAATCATCTGCACAAAATCGCTAAGAAAAAAAAAATAATAACAGTGGAAAAGAAACAACAGAATCATAAGAAGGTTTTCTTTTAAAACCTTAACAACAAGAAAGGAGGATACTTACAGAACAAGAGGACCAAGGGCAATAACACTTACCTGAGTCACCTTGGCCCAACCTATCTCTGGAGCCAAATTAGAACAATATTTATAATGCACCACCTGAGGATACTTGCATATCAATATCACTGATCCTGTTGTTACTGAGAAGACAGTACCCTGTTATTGAGAAGACAGTGCCCTGTTATAGCCCTTGGGCCATAATTGGAACAAACTTAAATCTGCAAGTATCGGAGGATGCTTGAAACCTTGTAAAACACTGTGTGCAATGCCATCTCTTTTGAGGTCTGAATCTCGCTCTTTTTCATCAGAGTAGGTTAACATGAATGCCAATATATATCCATGTGTGGTTTTTTTCTTTTCACAAATATATCTTGGAAAGTTACTTGAGCTCACACAAAATAGGGGAAAGTGAGGTCAAGGTCACAAGGAAAGTCAAGGTCACAGTTGAATATCTCTCACCAAAATGTATCAGTGCATGAATTTTGGTAATACATATGTTTGAAACTGAGCTCAACACAAAGTGTGATAGATGAGCAGGCAAATGAATGGAAAGACAGAGGAATGGAAGACAGCAAAGACAAACACTATATGCCTCCGCCATATTCATGAAGGGGCGCGGAAAGTCCTTTTGGTGTAAGAAGGGGTATAAGTCATTTTAGACTGCTTCATACTCACTAGAATGTAATCTGAAGAGTGATTTGACAATATAATCATAGAGTTGACATGAATCTTGTATACACAGAATCAGGGGAGCTAATCTACACTGTCCAGCATTAGTCATGGAGTTTGACCTAGACATGTCCAAGGAACTGAACACTGAAAAACAAATACCAAAAATATACAGTAAAGAATATGCATATTTAATTTTATTTAAAATAAAATACAGAAAATGTTCAAAATTCCCGTCTTCCATTTGCTCTTCATTCGTTCACAGTGTATTCACTGTGCACTCACCATTCAAAGTTAACTAATATAACTCACCTTTCACAGAGCAGTAAACTTTCACTCATTCATAGACTGTCATTTAAGCCTTTTGGCAAAGCCCATTATGCAAATTATCTCACATTTTCAACTGTCATTAATGCAACAAAATAGACAATGATTCTTTAATTATCCACAGTTTATGAAATTTTTGTCTCTCTTATATAAATACCAAATAGTATCTTGCAAAAATAAAGTGATCTACAGTAAATGTCTATTAGGAGAATACCTGAATGCTGAAGAGCCAGGATTTCATCCATATAATCCAGCATGTCCACAGTTATCTCAAAACTGGAAGACAAGTTTTTATAAGGAGATTTATTAAAAGTTCACTGTTGTAATTATAAAATCTACCACTGTCTTAGATAACTACATCTAATGGATAAACATGCATTTCATCTGACTGTGATTCATTTTAATTTGATTTTACAGTATTCTATCTTTTGAGCATTGTTTTTGCAGCAAGTATGTGTGTACAATTCTTGTCATAGATATAAGTAATAAAATACAGTGCTAGGTACATGAAATGCTTGTCAGGGATTATTTATGCATACTTGAGGACACAAGCTGTGAACCTGTCATTTGCAACTATATAAGTCAACCTGTTTTGGATCAGGACACCTCCTACCTATAAAGATGTAAAGATGTATTAATTGATCAAGTAAGACAGACTTAATTTTCAAAATTTGAAAGACATGGCTTGTACACAACACAACAAGACAATCGATAGATAAAGAATTTGAAACTGAGGTCACAATGAACTATTTTTGGGTCATGACCCCCCACCCCCCAAGGTGTATTAACTGAAAAGATGTGATAATTCTAAGTCTCCCATTGCAACAAATACATGTAGCTTTTTATAGCCATAAAATTCCAAACAGATGATAGTCATAGACACATACTTTTCGGCCATCACACACCTTCCCCGAGTATACATGTGAACAGACAAAGCTTGATGATTCAAGGCCTTACAGTTGCAAGATATGAAGCTGATGCAATTTCTCTAAATGCATAGCCATAGAATTCCAAAATGGGGCCACCAGAGAGGAAGTTTGGACTTGTGCTGAATACTTTCTCTCACCCCCTCCCACCCCCACCCTGACCCCACAACTAGTCCTTAGACCTTGCAGTGTGAAATATAATGATCTGGTCAGGACATGATTCACTTTTCTGGTAAATTCTACAATGCTTTCATTGTGACCTTTTTTGGCAATATATCCTGAGGTCTAAAACATACTAACACAAGATGTTTGATGATCCTATGCCTTTAGTAATCCAAGCAAATGGATATACTTATTAACTAAATATTATTTACAGGTAGGTTTTGATTTAATATGTTTTGGACAAATCCTGACAGCTAGAATCTTTGAATTTTGAAGACAACAATCATGAGTCCACAGACGCTTCATTTTTAAGAATCTTGTGTCCCAAATAATTTTGCTGCGTCCAGTACGCAGATTCTTGTATTAATGAAAAACCCTGATAAATGACTTAACATGGCTTTCATGTTGTTTAGAAAATTTTTGAAAGATTTTTAATATGCATTCCTATGTAAAATTTTACTGTCCATTTTTTTTTTTTACACCCAAGGGTCATGATTTTAACAAATCTGAATATACTGTAAACCAACTATTATTCACGTCATCTTTTATTCCCGATTTTTCAGTTGGAAATCAATTTGAGATGGTTTTTTGTGGCTGAGGAAACATTCTGTTTAAATACAAAGCAAAATAAATTGTTTGTGGTGATTAATATTCACGAGTTAAAGTAGGTTGCAAAACTAATGGATATTTCTCGCACGCGAATAAAAGTTGGTTTGCAGTACACTATCTGTGCATGCTTCAGATTAGATATGTCTGATCTGGCTTTGCTGTTCTTTAGAAAAAGATTCTTCCTATGTAAAACTTTGATTGCCCATTGTGGCCCCAATCTACCCCCAGGGGTCAGGATTTGAAGAAACTTAAATATACACTAGGCTGAAGATGCATCAACTAAATATGAATAATTATTACTTTGTTGTTGGTGAGAGATTTTAAAGATAACTAGAACTGTCCAAAAGGGACAATTACCCCCTGATGGGTTTTTCAGAGAAGGTACCAAATCACTAATGTTTTCTAGATGTGAGAGGTGTTCACAATTTGCTTAAACATTTAGAGTGAAAATTTAATTACTCATTATATTTTTTGTAACGAATGAAACTAAGGTGCAGCCTAATAAAACATCAATACTAATAATTACAGTGTTTTTTAATTACACTGAAAAAATAGTTTGCAACTATCTGTCATCTTTGTGAGACATATGACACTCTGCAAATTGATAAAAAAAAATGTTGAAAAAAAAATATCATAATCAATTAAACAAAATCAAATTGATCTTAATACCTTTATATCAAACTCATTTTAAAAATAAAAGGCTGGTTCCAGTAACTATGTATTTTGACAGACATAAATTACAATTAAGAGACTTAAACAACAGAGATCTTTATTTTGATCTTTCTGCCCAATTCCCAGGAGATATAGATAAGACCTGCTTGCAAAGACAAAGACCATGACAATGACAGACAACAAACAGATTTTGAATTCAGAAAAAATAGCTTCTTAAAAAGTTAGCAATAAAGCTTTAATTACAGTGCTTCATTTCCATATTTTTATGTAATTATTGATAATAAGAAATACATGTATAATAAAGACAATAATCACAATTAGTATCTGATTCTGTTTAACTCACATTTGACTTCTTAGACTAGATTATTTTGCTGATTAGATTAGCCAATCTTGTTTTAAAACATGTTTAAATAGCATACTGTATGTGTACTTAAAAAAGCGGGCATATTTTAGCATCTTTGGCGCGGACAACGATGCGCTAATTCATGAATACCGCTAATGCATTTATTAATACAATACATGGCACGGACATGTGTAGTGCTAATTCATGATTACACCAACAACTCCATACCCAGTGATTGTGCTAAATTTTGAATACACCAATTTATGTACACATACAGTATTACTCCTTTGCAAATCAATCATGGGTGACTGCACCTAACACTGGCTTTTAATCACTTCTGTTACTTTCATATTTTTTCTGTTATTTTGTTACAGAATCTGGTCAATTTGGACAAAATGATTTTAGACTGTTAAATTTTCTTTGCCTGTACACTTTCAAATATTAAAAATTTAAACTTACCTGCCCTTAATTGAAGAATATAAAGATTTTTTCCAATATATTCCCATGTAAAACTTTGATTGTCCGAGGTAGTCCCACCCTAGCCCATTTAGGAGTCATATTGAATAAACTTGAATTTTCATTCTGTCATTTGTGTGTTTTTTGACTTGTTTAAACCATCTACACTCAGTGATAATTCTTTGCTGAACACATGGTGAAATTCTGTTCATTTTATTTAAGTCCTCCATTTTGTTGCTCATCTACATGTACAAATATATATGTACGGGTGTTTTGATCGCTACTGAACAATGAACCATTTCAACTACAATATATTTGGAATACGCAAGGGGCAGGGCTTTCAGGAGATAAAATAAACAGCAGACCTGAGGGTCCCTTCCTGTTTACTTTAGTGTTAGGATGCCTTTGGTTGAAACTGTATATATATTGGTATTGTTCTTGTAGAATACATAAAAAATTCACAATACACACACAAAAAGAAAGTAAGACTGACATTACAAATTGAAAGTGGATCCTGATAGCATACTAATGCACTTTTGTCAATGTTCATAACTATATAGTTATGAACATTGACAAAAATGCATCAATAACATTTTTTTTCTCTGGTCATCTTCTTTGACATATTTTCTTTTCATTTCTTGTTCTTTATAACATACGTAAAAGAAAAAATTACATGGTAAAATACACGCAAAGAAAATAAGGAAACATACAGGGGGATATATAACACAATAATGAAAACATGATGTTCAAATTTATTTTGTCACTATTTTCATGTTGTTAAGTGCAGTCATCCTTTCGAGGTGAAGATTTAGAGACTGACCAGATATTGAAGCCATTCTACATTGCTAAAAGTAATTTTATATTTCATTTGGAAGATAACAATGATTATCATTTCCTTGTATGTTTCTGCTAATATAACCGAAGAAATACATTTGCGTAGATAAACCTGTTATACTTATTTGATTTGTATCAACACTAGGCCAGATAAAATTAAAGTTTAGTTTCTCTCCCTCTTCCCCCTCTCAAAATGCCCCACCCCTTTGTTTCTTATTTATTTATTTTTTTTTTTGTTTATTATGGAAATTATAAGTATTACATTTAAAAAATCATCTTTGATCACAGTAGAGTTTTAATGATACTTCCAATTTGTATTAAATGATGACCTAAAAAATCATTGGCAGACTTTAAGGAATTCACAGAAAACAGTAAATGTACAGCAAGACTAAATATTTAAGACACCTGGTTTTGCAGGATTTTCTGTTGATATTTAGAGAAAAAGAAATAAATTTCAACCATACCGTATAATCCCTATTAACCGCCCTTAGAAAATTGCGGAAAAAGGGCAGTTATTTTGGTATGCTAGTTATAATTTTTTATGCCATATTTTAACTTCAAAAAATCTTTTGAAAAAAATAATAAATTCAGAGAACCACTAAAAGATTGTGTAGCTTTCCTTTAAGTTAATATAATCCATCAAATTTATGCTAAATGATTCATTTTTCTACCGAGAATACACAAGGAGAACAAATTTTGTAGGTAACTTTCAATTTCAGAAATACATAATGATTAGGTCGTTCTAAAAACCTTTCACTTTCAGGAATACTTTACATACGAGTTACCCAATAACCAAGTTTCATTTTAACTTTCTTCAAATTATGGCGAACTTTCGATACGATTCTATATGATTTTAATCACTGTACAGGGGGCCCTCATTTCCCGACAATTGAAAACAAGAGGCCCATGGGCCACATCGCTCACCTGAGTAACTTTGGCCATGCTGTTCTTTACCAGATTTACCCCCTTCTAATACTTATTGTGGCCCTGCCCTACCCCCGGGGGTCATGATTTTAACAATTAACAAGAGGCCCAAGGGCCTTAACGGTCACCTGAGTATAATACAACAATTTGGAGGATCCATAGAGTATAATGAACTGAAAGGTGAAGCTTTGTTGCCCAAAAGCAAGAAAAATACTAGGGTGATCAGGATCAACAAAATAATTAATCTAGTATTCATTGATAGTTTATGAATTAGGTTCTAATCTGTTCCCCATTTATCACTATCACTATACAGTGTATTAAAATCTATCAGTGCTTCTGTACTATTTTAA